CCTCTTGCTCTTGATGACTTTGAGCCAGTCTCCTCGTGGTCGTCACACAGTCCTGGAGACATATTCCAGACGTTTACTAACCAAGATAGTGTATCCTCCGCCCTCAAGTCAGAGAGTAAGTGATCTGGAACTTCATTATTATTGTCTCATGATTGATAATTTTATTCTGTGGTATTTTTTTTTTTCTTTTTCTTTTCTTTTTTTCTTTATTCTTTCTTTGGTTTTCCTAAAATACTAAAAGATCTGTGTATACTTTTCATTTTTTTTCCCATATGCTCCATATTCAGTAAATTTCTTGATACAAATATTTATTCATAATTGGATTTGACAACTTTGCAGATGACTTTTCAGCGGAGGAATTGACTCAAGCACTGTATCCAAATTTGGTTGCTGGACAAGAAGCAGAAAATGAAACCATATCATCTGTGCTCATTGAAGATAAGATTGTAAGTACTGCGGCTTATGGAGATTTTCTCTCTTTTTCTACTGTGATATTTTATGTCAACTACAGTCTAGAATTACAGACATATGACATAGGCCACTTTATTAATATTGCAGTGAATAATGTGTCATGAATATTATTTCACAAAATTCATTTTCATTAGCATTCTTGAGGCTATGGAGAAAATAGCTTTTCTCTTCTTATTACGTCTTTGCTTGAGGCTATGGAGAAAAATGTTTGTTTTTTTTAATATTATGTCTGTGATTATTGCTTTTAGATCATCTGTTTGTTATGCTAAGATTAAAAAAAATCTGTTGCAAATAATTTGGGGATGTAGGTGATCAGTCACATCAGAATAACCAGAATCCATTTGTAGCAAAGATGATAATTAATGGAGCCATCTGTTGTTTATACTATGTACAGTAAGGTAGCCAAGAAAGATTTCTTTTCTTCTACTTTTGTGACTAATACATACATCAGTTTATAAAAACAAAGTTCAAGTTTCTTGATTGTCCTCCATGCACAGGAGAATGAACAGTGACTGTTTTGTGAGACAAGTTCTATTATTTTTAGACTTGCTTCTTTCTCGCCTGGATTTTATTTTTATCTTTGTTTGTTAACATCTTTATAACCTACTTTCTCTTGTTTAACCATTTTCTGTAACTACAATGTTAAAAGTTTCACATAACCACCTGAGTGACTTCTAAATGCACCTTAGATAAAGAATGTGTTCTTCCATTTCATAAAGAATGTGTTCTTGATATAAAGTTAGAAAAATATATGTTGATCAGCAGTAAGGACAGCAATTAAATGAATGAAAACTGTCATGTATCCAGATGCATTACAGGATACCCAATAGCTTGTAGGAGTATGACAAGTGTCTCAGTTACATTTATGTAGATATTAGATTTGCAAGTTCCATGGTGTTTAGTTCATAGAAGGTAATCCTCCCTCCCTCTATACTAAAACTGCCTGTGTTGTATGTTTATTCATACTATGAAATCAGCTTGCAAATATTATTAGTATGATGCATTAAGGTTTGATGTCATATTTATCTATAGTTTATGTTTTTTATGTGATTATGGCAGCACTTTTCTTAATAAGACAACCTATAAACCGATAAAGAATATGTTGGAGTAGTATAACCCATTATGGTTTGATGCTGTATTTATCTCTTGCTAATAAGACATTCTTTAAACAGATAAAGAAGGAGCCAGCTTCACCACAGCATTTCCTACAGATGCCACCGTCCCCAGATGATAGTCATGACATCTGGGAACTACTCTGTGGTCCTGATATCAAACCCAATGTGAAGGTGAGTCTGTGGTTCTTTGAGGTGTTTAATTTCTCAGATGATGTCATTTTATGGATCCATTCATAAGAGAGTTAGATGCTTAGATTTATTGTTAACTTATTTATTAATTATTTATTAACGTATTTATTTATTAACTTAGATTTATTGTATGTGTAGAATGGCTGTCTCAAATTTATTCAAAACCTCTATTTTTTTATGGAAACTAACTCTATATATGACCAACGTTATTTATGATTATCAGGCTCTGGACACTCCACCCGTGACCCCACCACAAAGTGAAGGATCTCCCCCGCATAGTCCCCAGCCTCTCTCACCTGCAGGACCAACTGCAACCACAGTAGTCCTCTCCCCTCCTCACCAGCACCAGAAGCAAGGCACAAATGGCATGACAGCAAACCACATGACGCAACCCATCAAAGTTGTTACCATAACGACGAGAAATGGTGAGTGACAGTGTTTTCGCTCTTGTTGCTATGATTTTTTTTTTCTGTTATGATTATTGTTATTATTGTTATTGTTATTATGATAATTATTATTTTTGTTATTATTATTATTATTATTATTATTATTATAATTTTTATAGTTATTGGTACTTGCCTTTTTCACTATTACAACCATGTATGTAGATGAGGTTTTTTAAAGATGATTTCAACATCTTTTGTTCTGTTTTCATGCAGGCACAGGTAATCAGGGGGCAACCAAAGGGGGCCGCATTACCAAAACCATGAAAATTCAACCCAAAATTGTGACCACAAGTACAACACAACCTCAGGTTATTAGCATAGTGAATTCCTCTTCAGGACCAAAGTTGACGCTGCCAAAAACTGGTGAGTTTCCCGTTTAAGTTGTTCTTCTTTAGAATATTTAAGCATCAGATGTGTGTTAGCATGTATGTATGTACATATGCGTGCATACATGGGTATGTGCCACAAACAATTATGACATAAAGGTTGTCTACATTTTCATGAATTATGATCTTATTGTATCATTTAGTAGAATGAATTATTTACCCATGTCATGATTAGCATGGTTTTAAACATTAGTACAGTTTCACAAAATTTTCTTGAATTGGGCCAGTACTTCCATTTAAGAAAAATGACCCTTTACACCTGTGTCAAGTAAGAGTGGTCTTGAATGGTTAATAAGTTGGTACTAATTTTGTGACCGTGAACCAACCAATCTTTTTTCATTCTACCTATACTTTTCTTTCTTTGTTTCTTTCTTTCTTTCAATCTTCCTTTCTTTCTTTTCTATTCATCCTCTCTTTCTTTCTTTCTTACCCATTTTTGTTGTTTATGTATTCCATGGAGATTTCATGCAAACCTATCTGAAATATTCACTCCAAACAGTTGGGACAAGGACCATAAGCACGGGGGGAAGTACAAGGGTTGTCCAGCTGAAACCTCCTCCTCCTCAAGTGCAGTCTAGAGTAACAGCTGCCACACCTACAATTCCTAGCCCAGTACCATCCATCCTTACATCACAGGTATGCATTGTCTACTCCCTTTGAATTGTGAACCGTATTCATGTTGACAAATGTGAAACAGGTATAAATGAAAATGTCTTCAACAATACAAGAGATGTATTTGACCAGTTTTGAATACATCTTCATCAGAAACGCATGGATTTCTGACGAAGATATATTCAAGACTGGTCAGATACATCTCTTGTATTGTGAAGATATTCATTCTCATTCATACTTTTTCTGCCTTTGAATTGTGTTGTTGTGTATATATTAACCCACAGTTCTCAATTTATTGCGGATGTTGTCGTGATAAACCTATTTTATGTTGAAAATGTTATGTCAAAAGTGTCTGTAACACATCTCTAATAAACCTAATGTACCTACATAGTTTAGTACACGAGTAGAAATATGTACTATATATTGCAAGCCTAGGGGATGTAAGAAAGAAAAGATAATAGGTGAATGAATAATTTCAAATATAAAAAATAAAATTAAGTTGAATCATAATACGTTGCAGATTGCCTACATTGTACAGTCCTTTTTAATACAGAAGTTATTATCATAGGCATATTTTTCACTAGTCAAATAACAGAGAGAAAAGATAGATGAATAGATTAATTATTATATTTATTTGGATAAGCCTTTTCTTTTTCTTTTTCTTTTTTTTTGAGAGACACAGACAGACATGGGTAGAGAAAGAGAGAGAAAATGAGCAAACATACAAACAAAAAAGCTAATAATCATGGTATGATAGACTATGTTATTTACTTTAGTCAATTATGATATATCAGTGAGGAGATCCACAGGACTCTTCTCAATTATTCTTCCTCCAATATCTTTAAAGATCCATAAGTGATTAGTTAGCCTTCTGTTTTATGTAATTCCTAAACCTTTTATTCTGCATAACTCCTTAATGCTAATTTTACCAGCCCCCACATCCTACCCTTACACTTGGGCAACAGATTTCATGTTAAGGACAAATATACTTGACACTCTGACAAGTTCATTTTCAGGAGCATCTACCAACAGGTCCAATCATAACAATGCATGTACTGTTGGGTTGAGTTTAGCCCCACAGCAAAAATAGGTTTTGTTCAAACTGCATCCTATTTTAAGAGATAATATGGGATGCATAGTTTCGTCAAATTAGACTGTATGGAAATTTATGTAAAGCTCACTGGGTGTGAGATGGTTTATTATTATTATGATCAATACTATCACTACTTCAAATGTATTATTCCTTTTCTTCTATAGATAACCAGCCAACCCACAGTTCTTGGCGCTCAGTCATCTGTAGTGCCCCCGGCAGCCCCCACCACACCCCTGGCACCTCTCGCTCCTGCCCCCCACTTTTTTGTTAGTGATCATATGATTAATCATATGTTATTCATTTGGTTTTTACTATTAGTCTGATAGGCACTGAAAAGACAACAGAGAATGATAAAGAACAGAGAATCTGCCAGTTTATCTCGTAAGAAGAAGAAAGAATATGTGACAGCACTTGAAGGAAACATTACTGAGTTACAAAATGAAAATAAAAGATTGAAAGAGGTACATAGAAGTCATAAACTAATTTATTTGTAGTTTTCATGTGTATGATAAGAAATTTATGCTCTTTTTGTTATGATTGTTATGGTAGTTTACTGTTGCATTTTTATTGCAGGACAATATCCGCTTGCAACAAAAGGTATCATCACTGGAGTCTGAGTGTGCATCATTGCGGCATGCATTGGGACGAAGCCCAAGCAGGAAAACCACCACTGCACTGTTCGCCATAATTTTCCTATTATCTCTGAACCTAGGTCCTTTGACGTAAGTACTTTGCAAAGTTTGATTTTTTTTTTTATGATTATCATTGTTCTTGTTGAGATCTTTGTTTATTTGTGCAGAAGTATTAGTTTTCCTTTTAAAAAGAATATGATTCCGACGGGGCTGGGCTGATAATGAGAGAATGTGCATGTATATGTACACATATAATAGGCCTTAACTAGATAGTGATCAGACACAAACCTACCTCCAACAGGGGCATTTTCCTAAGCAATGAATCAAGATTATCATCCTTAAAAAGAATGATGCAAGGAGGGGAACCGTCATCTCTCGGTTCTGGCTTTAAGCACCGCTCACTCCTCTGGGCCAATGAAAAACAGGCTTCAGCAGAGGAAGGCACAATTCCGAACTTGAACACCAACACCTCATCTATGTGTCCCATGTACATCAATGCAACAGAAAGTTTGAGGTAAGCAGTAAGATTGTTTTGGTCATATATTATCCTTTTGGGCCTCAGGGTAGTGTTACATACTGTTTCAAGAGGAGACTTAAGATTTAGGATTTATTTTACAATTTTAGTTTTTGTCCAACTTCAAATTAAGATTGTCACTGATAACGTTTGGTCCTTTTAGGCTGGAAACTGAATTGCGAGGCTGGTTTGAAAACAAGATGGACAAGAAGAAGAATAATCAAAGACCCCTATTGTCACACCCCAAGACAAGGGAAGGAAGGAACCGCCTTAACAAGCACAAAAACATGGGAGAACCAACCCAGAAACTCAGCAAGCAAGTTGGCAGTGAGGTCTGGAATGCCTTAGTCCCTCCCCAGCAACCTTCCAATAAACCAGCACCACTTTACCATTATGTTCACTATGTTGAGCCATCTACTAGGTAAGTTCTTTTCTTTTGATGGTTATCATCTTGGCTTGATCATGAGTTCCCATGATGATTCTTTGCTCAATGATAAAGTAATCATAGGTGACTAACCTTGTGTATTCTTTTCTCTTATCAGCACTGAAGAAGACACCTCGGTCATGGCTACTGTCCCTCGTCTAACATCATTCCTTGAGGCTATCCAGAGGCGTGATGACACATACTATGTTGTGTCCTTCTCCCCTGACCATCTCCTCGTCCCTGCAACAGCACGGAATGACTCAGCCCGGCCCCGAATGTCGCTGCTAATGCCAACACCCCAGTCTATGAATGACTCTCTGGCTCCCCCTCCTAATAATGTGGCTTTGATGCAGATCGACTGTGAGGTCATGCACACACGTCTAGTCCATGTAGCACAGGAGCTGGTGCCACCCTACCTGCGCACAGACAGGAGCAACACATCACGGACATCATCAGAAGAAGCTACAACTGCCACTCCCAGGGAGAGACGAAACTCTCGGTCCAGGCCAAGACACACCCTAACAAAGCCCAGTTTCCCACACAAATAGACTACGAGTTGGGTGCACAATTAAGACATTAAAACAGAGTTGTTGAACAGCTCGTAAAATCATTTGTCGTGACAGAGGAATTGAGCTTTTGTCCTTTTGCTATTTATTGTCATATCTGTTTTTCTACTTTTTTATCTTTTTCTTTTTAAGTAAGACCAATTTTGGTGCTTTAATTATCTGCTTCAGAAGTATATTTTTATTTATTAATATTTACAGCTGTACAAAATTATTTTATAGAGACTCCATGAAATATATAATTGTTCTTAATTGATATTGATATATTGATATCGACGTGTATATCCAAAAGCCCAGTGATGTGAAACAATAGACTAAGGAAGTTACAGTGCTTTTACAAGAATATTATATGGACCCAAGTGAGTTAATCTCAATCATTCCATGATCTCATACAATTCCATTTGATTTTTTTTGTCTATTTTTTTCTTCCCTATTTCATGTTGAAATAAACATAGGAATAATCAAAGAGAGAATCATGTATTGTACTGTGCTACCCTCAAGAGACAAGCATCAAAAAAAGGCAACCCATCAATTCACGTGATATTGTAAGAGAAGACAGGATATACATTAGGGTGTGCTCATATAAAAGGTGTTGAGTTCTTTGTACATAAAATAAAAGAATGCCACTTTTTGAGGATTTTGTGTGCTGGTGTAGGGTTCAAGTCTAGGTTGTTTGATAGGGTATAGTACAAGATGCATATTGTGGTTCCTTTTGTACATTTCAAAGTTAAAATTTCCGTGACTTATCAATTTATATACATGTGTATTCAAACATACACATGTTGTATACTGTTTACATGTATATTGTATTATAGAACATCCCAGATTTTAATCATATGTGAAGGAAATACACATAAGTTTATCAAGAATTAAGTGTAAGGAAGAGGTTTGTAGTTATTAAACCACGTGGTTATGTAGATGCCTGGTCAAAAAGTACAGTTTCATTTCCCATGTAAATATGTATTTATTAATTTTATTTCAAGATGTCGTATGTCTAGTTTACTTTTGATATGGCTGTGATTTTTTTTGTTGTTGTTGTTCACTTATGAATGTTAAGTGTTGTGGAAGTATATTATGTTAAACAAGCGAATTGACTTGTTAGACTTGCATCATTTCATCTTTTCTGTGCAATAATTTTGGTCCAGTGAAAGTTTTGAAGCCAAACTTTTCTGTGTATATAGAGTAAAAATGGTTGTAAATTTGATGTTGACTTCAGAACATCAGAGTTTTCTCTTTCTAAAGTTGAAAGCAATTATTCCTTTTTTTTAAGCTAGTCAAAATTGGTCTATGTAACCAATATTGGTTCATAATTGTTCACTACGAATATTTTCTTTTTAGTTATGAATAGCCTTGTAAATTTGAATATATTTTTTCAGCAAAATTGATGTCCTTATCTTCAGTATTGATAATATGAATCATTTTTCTGATTTGGGGTAATTGTTGTGGAGGTACCATGAAGTTTACCTTTAGTTGCTACACTGTGTGTGAATTTTCACATAAGAATACCAATGTTATTTTCATTATTGATAGATGCCCGAGTCTATTAGGTTTAGTTAATGGTGCCAGAATGATTTAGATATAAATTATTATACATTACTATTTAGAAATGTATTGATAGGATAAGAATATTCAGTGATAAGTGACCATTGTGTGTCAGTCTAATGCTTTTGCACTTTTATAATTTTCATTCATGTATGAATAAAAAGATGAGTATAACCGAGAGTATTAATTGAATGAACCTGCTGAACCCATACTTGTTGATAAAGTTTTGTAGTTGCTTAATATTAAGTTCTTTAATGCGGTTTTTAAAGAATAGGATAAATGCTATCAGTCTGTAAGAGGTGAATCTGAAAACATATTACTCAAAAAGAGAATCATAAATATACAAAATAATGGTAATCATAAGATGAAAATTCATCATAACTTAATCCAAAAACAAGTAAAAAGTTACACTGAAGTTAAAATAATTTCAAACATAAGCAATACCAGATACAGTTTTGGGAAATGCTCTGTGGGTGATCTAGTACAAGAATGTAACAGCATATTCATGACCTGCATAAAAGTCCAGACCAAACACTGGATGGCATTATATTAACACTGTTTAATGCACAAAGAAAGTGAATACTGTCCTGTAAGAGTAAATAGACAGATAAAATTGAAATAAAAATGAGCAGCAATTGATGTCATCTCACACGAAAGGGTTAAGATTGTAGTAGCCAACATAACCTTCTTGACTGGACTGGCACCTATTTCATGCTGGATAGTAGGAGGTATAAATAACAGTCATATAATTGACTTGTTATTTCATATTTCTATTACCTGTATCTTCTTGAATTACAATAAGACTTCTGCTCTTAGCTCAGACTTAAGAAAATGGTCATGATTTACGTAACCCACTTGGTTCACGTCTATGATAATACCATGGACATCGTTAAGACCACACGATAAGTAGTATACATGCAGTGAAGAGAAAGATCCAGGTGTCATTTATCTATAATCACTCCACGTCTCTATTGTTTGGCCGAATCGGAGAAGCAAGCAAATTATGGTCTGCTCACCCGACACAATCCACATATGCTTTTGAAGTCACCAATGTTATACTCTAGGATCCACTTCATCCTTTAGACGTTGCTATGTCTTAACTAGTTCTAGCGATGATATCCCGTGATGAGTGTCTCTAAATAATTGACGCGCGCAAGGTGACACTATATCCGGACTCCAGCACTGCATATTGTCTCATGCGAATAGTATAAAGAGATACCTATAAATCAACAGACAGTGACCATGTTCTCTATGTGTTTATGGAAAATCGTCTCCTCTTGAACATAATCTTGCCCTTTAATTTCTCTTTCTCTCTTGTTCTCTCTCGCTCCTCTCTCTCTCTCTAACCTCTCTCTCTCTCTCTCTTCTTCTCTCCTCACCCATTCACCTCAATATATATTGACAGTGGGGGTGGTGTTGTGTTCGATGAAATGTGTCGGTGTAGTTGTATGTGTGAGTTGAATTGGCTGGCTGCCGTTCGTCCGCCTCGTCACTAGCTGTGTGTGTTCTGCGTCGTGTGTCGTGTGTGTTGTGTGTTGTGTGGGTGTGTGTGTGGTGTGTTGGGACACGGGTCCTGCTTAATGAACTGCTCCCCGGATGAGTGCGTAACGCTGCTGTGCGTTGTGTGTGTGGAGCATGTCAGACACTGCCAGATGGAACGCTCATGTGATGCAGTTTGAATGCCCACCTTTTTCCTGGCCCTTGGTGTTGTTGTGGTTTTTTGTCTGCCCGCCTTTGATATTAACCACTTTACGTTCTTATATGTGACTTTGCCAAAGCGCCCTGGTGGTCGTGCGTGTGACTGTGTGCTCAGCTAAATCATATGTCGGTTAAACGGTTCATATGTGTTATAATAGTATTATAAGTTATGAAAATGAATGGAATAAGTAATTACATCACCTAAACTGCGGCTCGGTACTATTGTAGTATATTACTTGTTCTATAATTAGATCTATACTCATAGCTAATTATATCTATCTCTAATATTGTGTTTAGATTTAAAATAATAAACGGAGTAAGCTATGAAGTCAAATAAAGTATATCAATAAATAAATTACAAATAATTTGTATTATCTATGATAAGTCTTGTTATTATATAGTTCGTCTATTATTTTCTCTTACTTCACTCTAATCTTATTTTATAGATTTAGCTCAATTATGTAGGGTATATAATAATATAAATTATAGTCGTCTCACTAGTGTATTTTCTTAGAAAGCTTATAGTCAAGTAATACTGATATATAATAATATATAACTGAGTGCGAAAATTTTGATTTTTACCCCCGTACCCGTAAATTTCTTTCTTTTTTTGATATGGTACTTAATATAATTACCCATCTGCTACGTAACGAAGATTTAGCTACGAATACCAAGTGATGTCTCTTCTCTCAGCAGTATACACCATATGCGAACCCTAAGTGGACCGGTGACTTAATCTATATGTTATAGAAATAGAGTACGTCCAGGAGAGTATTCTATACATATAGTAAATATTCATAATTATCACCTCAGTATAAAATAAGTGAGAATAGCTAAAGGCTATTCTACTAATGGTCACTTCCAGTACTCCCGCGTATATAGACCCTGCACGGACAACTGTATTTGCTATCGCGATAAGTAGCGCTTAATTGGTTTAGCGCAGTAATATGTTGTATATACCTGGGTAATGGTTGGGGCCGCTCAGGCACAGGCCTGGCGCGAGGGGGTCAGGCCGGTGACGGGGTACGAATGGTGGGTCGATCTCGGGTGTCGATGCATGACATCCGTGCTGTCGTACTGTTTGCCTGTTTGGGTGTGGCTGTGTGTGTGCTACATTGTCTGTTTAAGAAGAGATGTTGCGCTCCGTCACAGTGTCGGCGCCACTGTGTGTGTGAGTTTACTGCAATATCATGAGATGAGAGAGAGACGTGTGATACAGGAAAAATGTGGATGCGCAGCAGACACACACAGCACAAACCACAACACCAGAGAAGATTACGTAGAAGTGGAGACGATAAAGAGCTAGACGAATAGATAGTAATATAGGAGATATTAGACTACTATAGATATTATCGAGTATGATGGAGAGTAGTAAGATGATATGTATGACGTATGAGGATGGATTACGAGAGGATAGTGATCAGGTAAAATATGATGAGGATGAGTGTCGTATGTGACTATTATATTTATATCAAATCTGTGTATGGTGTGCTGTGTGTCGTGTCGTATATACTATTGAATGTGTTAGTGTTATATGTAATACATCTACTCCTATCAGTCTTTACTAAATTTCCATCATCCACTCTATTCCTATCTGTTGCTTTGTCTGTTCTCTCTTCTTTCCCCCCCTTCTCCCTCCCCCCGTGTGTTGTACATTACCTAGCTTAGAATGCCGCACCCACTTGTGCATCCTCAGTGATGTGTGTGCATATGTGTAGCTCGTATTGCTATGCAGCAAGTTATTATGGTATACACACTTAGTCACAACTCTCACCATATCACCATGCATGCATCACCACATACCACCATACCCATGACATAAATATAATACAAACAATGCACCTCTAACATGCTACCTTACTACTCACCAACACGAACTTACACACATCACTGAACATTACATAACATAATACACACATATTATGAGTCCAGTAATAACATGCCATACAACAGCACAACAGCTAATCATAGAATCTAATACACTATAATACACAGTAGAAATAAAAGACTCAAGTGTAAACTACTATATAATATTATTTTCTCTATCTAATATGTGTATACTTTATTACATATATAACTCTATACATTTATATCTACTATCAATCTATACACAAAACTCACTATAACCCTTACTTCATTGTGTATAGATGTATGTGTGAGTGTTTGTGATCACATTCCTGCGCCTAACTGTAAAATGTATCTGGTCCGACATCTACACTGATTAATGTAATCCAACTAAAGCGTCTAGATTTGTTCTCCCTGAGACGTGAACTTGTAAATTGGTCACAGTTTTGTAATTAGAAAACGAGTGTCCAGCCTTGCATGTCTATCTGGCCTGTCTGCTTGTGTCATTACTCGGGATTCCTGGCGCTTATCTGTCTTCCTATACGCGGCATATGACACGAACGTCGCCGACGCCTGATCCCTGACTCGCCAACCTGTACCCACCCCCTACCGCGCTCTTCGCATATCGCACTACTCTCTCTCTCTCTCTCTCTCTCCTCTGCTCTCTCTCTCTCTTCTCTCTCCTCTCTCTCTCTCTCTCTCTCTCTCTCTCTCTCTCTCTCTCTCTCTCTCTCTCTCTCTCTCTCTCTCCTCTCTCTCTCTCTCTCTCTCTCTCTCTCACACACACATATCTGTCTGTCCCTATATATCTCAACCAGCCTTTACATCTCTCAATGAAAAAAACGTAGTATGCGTTCACACATTTATATCTTGCAGTTTCTGAAGTGTGCGTCACAGAACACTTACTAGATGATGTAAATTTGTGTAAAAAAAAATGTACAAGATAAATCTAAAATGATAACTTTAAGTACGTCATCCCATCGTGTTATTGTTTTTGTTAAAACTATACAAACATTATAACTTTATCAAGAGGCTATTCTGAATCAGAACATAAACCGACCATTATTCACGTATTCGTAAATGTACGTAATAGACCGTGGTCTCAGAAAGGATAAAGGGCAAATGATCTGCAACAATTGATCTTTAGTTCCCTCTCTTTCTTAATTTGAATAGTCCCGCCAGAATAAACGGCTAAAATTCAAGTATGCTGAAAAAGTCTTCCACAACAGAAACTATCAACTATAAGATATTGTTATATTCATATTATACTATGGTAATTATAAGAAATCGCGATGCAATTATACTTACAAATAGCTTCATGTTTTGAAATATTTGTTTTACCCGATTATGAACGCGCCATCAAATCGAACCAACTGGGCGGGACAAAAACAACACAAGATTTATTATTACACTAAAAATATGCTCTTTTTGGACGTTTTCACGTGATGTGATGGTGATACTGGGACTCATTCACTCCAGTTCTTACGAATATAGTGTTGATAAGCCATAAATATGCTGCACGACCTTCTTTTAGCTGTGACAGGACATGGAGGCGATGTTTTCGTGGAAAAAGAATCTCGTTTTGAGGTATTGGATTAGTATTTTACTTATTCTTTATTGTTATTCAATTC